AGATATGAAGCTTATATAGTAGGTTGGGGCTACTATATTATTATAGTATGCTTTTAATGAAATTTGCGCGAGATGATAAGTATAAATTGGGAGGGAATAGAAAAAGCGAACTAAGAGGGATGTCTATATTTATCAGAGAAAAGCCTGATTGATCCTTATTATTGACTTTACTCGAGCTAAAATATACTCTAATGAAGGTTTTAGATTAATATAATAACTATCAAAGCTGTTATTAATCATTAGACCAAGAGCGTCGCGCGAATAGCCCTGAGCATAGAACCAACGTGAAATCCCGTGCATTAGCGCGAGGCTGTGACACGTATATAAAATTGCGGTGGGTGTTAGAGGTGATGTCTTTTTACTTAGATAAAGTGTTTAGAGCCTTATATTTTAGTCTAGCGGATCTAATATTAGTCCTAAAGGAGTTTAAGACTGTCTAGCCTAGGGCTGGTGTGTAGCTATATAGAGATATAGGCTTTAAAGGAGGACTTTAGCCCTTGTAGTAACGACGTATGAGTGGCGCATAGCCCCCGCTTTCTTAGCGCTTGGCTAACTTATTTAGCCCGACGACTACGTTAATGGATAAGAGCTTGGGATTATATGTGGATAAATCAGATCTACTCACTACTAAGTGGATTTGATGTATAGTTGCTTTTGAATGTTTATCATTAATTAAATAGTAATAAAATTTTATGTTCTCTATATGCGAAAATGACGTGAATCTATAGATAGGTGTTAACTATGTTGAATTAATTAGAAATTTGTTGATGGCTGCTTAAAATAGGGCTTGATCTTTTTATGCTACTCTTAATATGTTAAGACTGATTATTCTCTAAGCATTACCAACTTATAAGTAGGGTAGTGCTGTTATAAGTTATCTCTAGATACGTAACTAACTAAGCCAACTTAGGATAGGCTAACAATCAATCCCTCTATTATTTTATATTGATGCGAGCCTGAAATAGCCTGGATAGACGTATTTGGTGCTAGATGTCGACTGTAATAAAGTGTGTGTGGAGTGTTTCTAGCGTTTCACACGTGAGTGCTTTTATTAAGCACGCTCGAACCCACATAAGGATTATACGACGACTTACGCAATAAAGCTATATTCGAAATGGATTAAATGATGGAGATTCGAGGGTATATACTATATATGTTATTATGCATTTTAAAAAATAAATAGGATAAAGATTAGCACTTTAGGCGGTAATGAGCGGAAATAGCTATTTAAGGGTTGCAATGCGTACAAAAAGGCAGCTATAGCTAGTAGTAGGTAAAATCATATAGGAAAAGAGGACTTCTGGTTGCTAGAGGGGAAGTGTGATCAGTACTGGTCAAAAGTTAGAAGATTATAGGCAAAAAGGATCATAAATGTGCTACTCTGGGCTAAAATGGACTGGGTGGTATTAGTATATGCTTTACGCATGATAAATGCATCCCTGTCTGTCCTAAAAACATGGTTGGAGTATGATAAGCCATAAGTAGCCATATTGAGCTAACGGAAAACGGGGGGTTAATGCTTAGGATGGGATATTATAAAAAAGTCCGCGCCCAATTTGTTATATTATTCTCTCATTTCGACTTGCTTTAGTCTAAATTTGTTTAAAAGCCTCCAAAGTCATATCACCGACCGAGTGTTTCTTTAATTCCCTGGTTTCCTAAAAAGAATTTCTTGATAATAGCCCATTCCTAGATGCGAACGGCCAGAAAGGACTGGAATCGGCGTATTGTCTATTTCATGATATAATTAAACACTCGTCTTCGCGGCAGACCTAGAATAGACGTAATAAGGCGCGATAATATCTTAAAAATGTGTACTCCCTAGGTAAACCATTATTTGTCCTTGTTGTGGTCACAATCTCCATTACTGATCTGGCAGTATTAGAGCATAAAGAATTATTTCCTTATCTTAAGGATTGGTGGCAAAATAATATACCCTCTAAAAAGTTTACATCCCGCGCGATTAAGCTCATTAACGAACTCGAGCATAAAAGAGAGAAAGGAGGCCTTATCTATATATAACGTAAGTGATTTTTCCCACTTCCTAAAGGCATCAATGCTGACCTAGCTTAAAGAAAGAACAAAAAGCAGGACTCTTAGGAAGGCCCGGGGTGTTAAGAATAAGAGGGTAGCAAACACCGTCCCCCTTAGCAGCCTAATTGAGTAACCCACCGAAATCCAGAATGCCCTTTAAGGGTTTGGTAGTGCCCCTTTATTCTTTGCATTCTTAGATAATACTAACTAAAGTATTTTAGTTAGTGAAGAATCCGAGAACGCGTAGTTATTAGTTACTAGAAGCTCGGGTTCGTCTTTATAAAAATGTGATTTCACAAAAAGAATGCTAATATGTTATAGGATCCATCGGAGCATTCGCGATAGACGTGACCGATGAAGAGCTAATATCCTTCCTTTCTTCGTAATTAATGGGCTTCCTCTAAACGTATTATGCAGAATTTCCCTATCTATAAGTTATTAGCGAAATGCTTCGAATCAGCGGGCCTAACCTACAGCTTTTATACCCTCTTCTTAATCTTATACCTCCTTATATCCATATCGACCTTTAACTACCTACGGGGTTTAACGTTAATATCGAGGTGTCGAGAGAGATTAGTTATTCTTTTATTTAATATCTTTGGATGCTTTAGGCATTAGGTGTCTCTTAAAACGAAACGTCGTAATAGCACGTTCCTAAATATAAGGCATATACGTCCACTACTTAATATAAGGATTCTTTGGCCGCTTCCTGTCCTGGGTCCCGTTAAAAGTATATTAATGCTGCCCGCTGTAATTCGCGAGTGGATAACGCCCTCTCTATCGTCTCTATATATTAGGACTGCCGGAGCGACGTTAGAGTCTAAGATTTTTCTATTGAAAAACGTTGTTTCGAGTATGACGGATTTTCCATTCTATAGAGATAATAGTGAGCGGTTAAAGATGCGTAAAATACCTAGGATCCTGACTAATAACGATTTTGCTTCCTCTTCTAGACCCTTATTATCTTATGACTTTAGCTTTTGAAATACATTCTTATTGATTATGTTTATTATAATTCCGTTTTTTGGTATTTTGAGGGTGCGGGAAAGTTTTGCGTGGAATGGGAACTGCGTGATATAACGTTAGGTATGCGCGTTAGTAACTTTTAGGATGATCGAGTGGATAACTAGTGGTTGCTTAATATGCTTGCCTTTTAAACTCTAGTTTCCAAGAAGGGTTTGTCGAAGGTAATTATTATTTATAATAGTGCGAAGGAAGAAACTGGAAAGCCCATCGCGGGGGCCTTTAGGTAGTAAACTGAAGTTATGTGACTTCGTGTCGTCGGAATCAAACGCGAAGGCATGTCGCGTAGCACACTAGCTATTGTAATTTATATTAATGCTGAAGTAGGGATATTGACTTCAATCTAGATTTTCTTGCTATCGTGTTATAAAAGCGCAAGAATGGTGGAAATAGAGAGAAGACGCTTATAATCTACTAGGCATCTTTCGATATAGTTTACCCTACTTCGCACCATCCCGTCTTATTTTATAATATTATTAGACAGAAACTATAGTTTGTCTATACTTTGTCCTACTTGAATCATTCCTAGAACATAAAATCCTATTTAATACTATTTTACTAGCGGAATCTGTTAACTTGGAATATTTTGTCTTTTTATGTTCTATATAAGAATAATATAAATCATTAGTGTTTAATCACTGTCCTGGCGTCAGTAACCGCAATCCGACTACGCTAGAAATACCTTTTTATAAGCACGAATCACATTAAAGAAGCTACGTAAGCTCTAGTTAATAGACTAAAAAGCAAAGCGTGTCTATGATCCGACGGCCTACCTAGCTAAGATTAAGCCCCTAATTGCCTATCTAGATCGCTTATCCCTATACTCTGATTCCTGGGTTGCACTTAAAACCCCTGTAAAGTTGCGGCATTTATTACGTTCGATAAATTGAGCTATTCGGAGCTGAAAGAATATATAAGGGTGCAGCCCACCAAGCTTCTATGTACCGTAACGCCAATCTTTGATTTTCAAACTCCGTTTCTTTTATTCTCTTAATAGTCCTGAATCTTTTAGCTGCGATACTATAGCACTCATAGACAACCTAAATCCCCCTGGCTAAGGCTTAGAGCCCCTAGGTAAAGGGTCGGCTATGCCATAAGCTACCGTGAAGGATCTAAGGGATCTTTATAATATTCTAAGAAAGGTGCTTTCAGACCTTAAGGACCCTCTAAACACTCTTATCTTCTAGGAAAACTCCTAACCAGGGCCTGATATAGTTTAGCTAGTGCAATTACTATATAAGTTTAACTATGATAGACATTCCTCTGTGGTAGTGATTCCTTCCCTATGTTGCCCTGTGAGTAATGAATAAGACGTGATCGACCTAAGGGCGGATGATGTAGATCGCAGCCTAATTATTTATATAACTCCCGATGATTTTAAGTCATTTTAGAAGTGGGTAGTAATGGCCGTTGCTTAGGCATCTTTGTTAGAATACAAGTAAATTTTGGAAAGGTAGAGAATCGTACTTCCTCTTCCTCTAGTTAGTATTGCTAATAGTAACTTAGGTGGAATGATGTCTCTTGCAAATTCGAGATCGTCGAATCCGAAATTCAAGGCGATAATGATGCCTTAGATGCGTATGTCTTTATTATACGCGAGCGCGTGGGTATGTGTCTCCGTCTTTTATTATATTGTTATCGATTAACCCCCCTGAAGATCGAAAGCCTGAGCGGGTGACTCGCTTTATTAATATAAAATCCAAGCTATTGTGCGATATCCTTCGAAAATTGTTGTAGAACGTCTGAGTAGTTAGTGTGATAGGGGATAAGCTATCCGTAAGTTATATTCTTCTCCTGGCTAAGCGAACATTTGCTGATCCTCTTTAGATCAAAGAAAACGTTCTTTTCTATTACCTCCCTAAACTTTAGCAAGCAGTAGAAGAACTAAAGACTCGATCACACTGCCATACGTAATGTTTGAAACAACTTAATCTGCTTCTTGGATGGGTAATGGAGGCGACCGCCTCTGTTTTAAGAAGTGTGTCTTCGCTGCTTTAGTAAAGATAAATTACCTTTGACCTCTTATGGGCCCTTTTTAAGCCAGGATGCCACGTGTTTACTAAGTATCTAGGCACTGAAAAGCCGAGGTATGTTATATTCGATGCAGGCGAAGAGATTACCTAAGATAGTGTTATATATTATAAACTCGAGGCCCGGTATATTGATCTTAATGGTGAAAACTTTAGGGAGGCCGGTGTGGTCTTGGGTATCTTAAAGTTCCGCGGTTCCAGGCTAATTAAATCACTTGACGCCTTTCCGCTTTATTACCACCCTAACTATGACTAAGCTCGCTAAGACCTAGTTAAGACTAGCCGTAAATTCCGAAGCCTAGTTAGTACGCATATATAGTGGTGTGATGGAAGAGCTTTTATTATAGAGGATGGTGAGCCTATTAAAATATATATTAACACCTACGTAGGTGTTAATACGGGTTTTTTTTATATAATAAAACTAAACTACTCACAACCTCGTTTTCACGATAAGTTGGCTCGAAAAACGGACGGAATATCGATCATCGATATAGACTCACTAGTCGACGATATTCGGATAAGAGTCGTCGAGAGATTAAGAGGTAATAGTATAGAGCTACATCAATTAAACGAAGACGAGCTCTTGGTCTATGCGCCTACTATACGCGGTTTTAGTTTTTAGGAGAATTGTTTCAGTGAGTTAGATAATACGCATAGTAGAGTATTCTATCCTAATTTGTGACTAGTGGAATTTACGGTTTCCGATCTACACGGTATGCGATAGTCTCGTGAATCATTTGACTGCCTCAAAAATTTCGAGGGCCCTAAAAAGCTGATCTTGTCTTTGATCGAGACTCGATTAGGTCGCACACCGATAGTTCCATTTAACGATTTTATCGCAGGGAAGGGGCGCGGACTTAACGTCCTATTATAGTGAGGGATTATAAGCGAGAGTACTTTTAGCATCTCTAATAATTAATAGTGGTCCACTAGGAGTCGGGAAGACTTTAATAGTTAAAGCTACTATAGAACGGTTTAACTTACCTCTATATTTAGTAAGACAATCATTCGGTATAGATCAAAGAAGCTATACTAAGAGAAGCTAGATCTCCGCCGGGGAACTTAATGTCGACCATAGAGACCTAAATGCGCTAGATAAGTAACTCAAGCGTATTTTTAAGATCGCGAAACACTTCAACGCGATGCTACTTTTAGATGAAGTAGATGCGTATATAGAGAGCCGCATTGCGTTATACGGGGGTCACAATCGCCTTATGACTATATTTTTGCGAAACCTTAAATATTATAAGGGAATTATGTTCCTGACCACGAATAGAGTGATAGAATTTAATAATGTAGTTCTAAGTAGAATTCACCTAAAAATGAAATACGATATATTAACGAAAGATGCGCGTCGTGATATATGGAAAGACTTCCTATCAAAAGTAAATACATACCACGGACCTGCTACTGTTAACGACTCATAGCTTCGATATTTAGAATCGATGGCCCTTAATAGACGAGATGTTAGTTCTCTTAAATAGTTAGCTAGATTATTTACTTACTATATTTAGATCAAAAATATCACGTCCGTTGCGCACGCATTGGCTAGCAGCGAAGGATATTAGGTCGACTACCGTTATCTTTAAATAGCGGCTTAAGCTAACGAGAAGTTTCTATAGGAATTCGGACACGTTGAGGGGATGAATATTTAATCTAGTAGGTTTCCTTCTAGTACTAGGGACCCTAGGAATCCTAAGCATTAGAGATATGATCATCCGATAGTTTAAAACGAAGGGCCGTACATCGAAGTCCTTTAGCTTACTTTTTCTCTTTTTTTTGTTTTTGTTTTTCAATTGCGCGCATTTTAGTCTCGGTCCAAATTGACAATCCTATGCTCTATGATCCATACCAGCCCTAGGCTATCCCCGGGCCTTTTTCTCCCCGCCCTACGACACCCGGTAGTAGGAAGTCCCACGAGACGTTTCGAACCTCCTAGCGTATCTTCCCCTCGTATAGTGGTCTTAGAATAAGTATCCCCGATGGCTATCCTATCTTGGCCCTTTTTCCATAGTGCATCTGGGCTTCAAGCTCTAATCAGTATTAACAAAATACATATCCGATAGCCACTACGAATAGCCTATTCTACGTCCCATATGTCTTTTCACAGTGTCAAACTAGAGTTAAGCTTAATAGGGTCTTCTTAGGCGATGGTTTTAAAGTGAAGACTATGCCCATCTTTTTTCTTGATTGTCTTTTATTAACCTTCCTGGCTATAAGGAATGACAACTAATTACTTAGTCTTATTAGAATTTACATAAATACTTACTTATTCGGAATCTTAGAAGGACTATTGTCGAAGCATTATAGAAAAGTAGGTAGGTGATCTACTTCTTAAAGATATCATCATTCAGGACTGGTTACCTTTACTTACAGGAATTCTTAGAAGCCATCTTTAGGCTTAATGTTCAATTTATAATTAATGACGATGCTTCTAGCTCTACTATATAAGGAGCGGATAGTTTATTAAATAGGGTACACGATCAGATCAAGATAAATTAGGGATAATTAGGCATATAGAGGGGATATCGAAAATTTACTCACTAAGCCTCCATTAACTGAACTGCGCTACATTAAGGGCCACTATAAGATACTTCTTAATTAGTACTATGGCCACTAATCTTCACTGTCCGATATTTAGTAATCGACGGGATCCTTTTTCTAATATCCGTTTCCTGGACTAATCCTACCCCTCTCTAAAGTATCTAAAATAAGAAATAAATACCTTTAACCTAATAAATGCCTTCTCACTACTATGTAAATATCACTTCCTCCTCCTTTAACCCGATGCTGAATACCCTATGCACTATAGCGGAGTTCCCGTAAGACCACCAAATTTAGAGTGATTGTATTGATTTTGATGATCTACTTGAGTTAAATAAGAAGTTTCTTTAGGGTTAAATTCGATTGTCTCCTTATTATTATGGTCCTATAGAGGAAGAGACATATGGCTTGATTCCTTCTTTGTTGAAGCTACATGAATAAAGTATCTTTACGTGGGGTAGTCAACCATATTTACGTGAACGCACGAGAGGGGATAGAGGCAAAATCCATAACGTCTAGCAACGGCCTTTTATCTCTTTCATTATGATAGAAAAGAATAATCCGCTAGAACTCTTTTAAGCGTTAAGAAGAAACAGAGAGATCAAGGTTCACGTAAGTAAGGCTTACTCGCCTAAAGCTAGACTAAAGGGATCCTTTAGTCAGAAGAAGATTATAACTAAGGCTAGGGCTATTACCTAATATCGACGTGTGTTAATTCGGCGGCGATGGAAGGTGCTTATAAATATCGATCCCTAGGAAGATATAGTAATAGAAGACATTTTCTATCTAGAAGCTATGAAGGAGGCAAAGCCTTAGATATTTAAGGTTATGGCTGCTTTATGGCAAGATGTCAATATTATAGGAATTATTATAGACGCAATTAATATAGCATAGGCAAGATCATTAAGCAAGCCACGTATAGATATATAAACTATATAATAATTATGCATTCAATTTGGGGTATTTTTTAGATAGGTCCGATTACTAATGCTATTAGAAGGTAGAATCGGCTAGAGATATATATAACATATTTGCCCATTCAGAACATAAATAAATAAGCGGATTAAATGTTTATAGTCACTAGCCAAACTAGCTTCCTCCCTATATAGCTATAGTATAGTAAAATGGCGAAAGAACCCTAGCATCTAAAACATCACTAAAAGACAGCTTACCAAATGTAAGCTCTCGACATATTCTTTTATGCTTTATACTCTTGGTATATAGTTGATAGCGAAAACGGCTTCTACCCTAATAACTACTTCTCTTTTCTCGGGCCCCACTGCTAAGAGCTTAGTGTAGGGCTTTTACTCCACTACTATAACAATAATACATAGAGTATGTAGATATAATGATATAAATACTACATAGTATAAGAGCCTTATAAAACGGGCGTATTTTCAATCATAGCTTTATAAGAAGCCAAAGCATATATATAATAGTAAGATAGAAATAGTTCTTAATAACGATGCGAATAAAGTTTATACTTTCGCCACTTATTTACGGGTATATTTCTTTTCTTTCTTTTCTTTTTTTTTTTCTATCCTTCTTCATATATCTAGCCAAATATAAAGCGATATATAGACAAGAGTAAGTAATTAAGCTAATTTATTTCTTAACTACAACAGCTACCCAAGCTATAGATTCCGGAGGCCATGAAAATTGTGGTATCGCAAGAGAGAAGGAGAGATGTGATCCAATTACGAACCACATATACTAAACTTTTACTTAATCTTATCGTGTCCTTCTAAAGATATAGCTTAAAGAGCGTTTCCTTATTTTCCACCTTAGGCGTTTACCTCTGCTCCTTTCTCTAGTAGTAATTACATAGTCGTATCGTGTCCTCGAGAAACCGTAACTTAAAGAGCAGTTCCATAGAATCTACCCTAGGTGTTAACTTCGGCTCCTTTCTCTAATAGTAACTATATAATCCTATCGTGTCCTTCCGAAGATGTAGCATAGAGAGCATTCCTAAAGTCTCCACCTTAGGCGTTGACCTCGGCTCCTTTCTCTAATAATAGCTATACGATCCTAATATATCCTTTAGAAGACGCAGCTTAAAGAGCATTTCTATACTCTCTATCTTAGGCGTTGATCTTAGCTCCTTTCTCTAGCAGCAGCTGCACAATCTTATGGTATCCCTTAGCAGACGTAGATTATAGAGCATTTCCATAAATTCCACCTTAGGCGTTAATCTTAGCTCCTTTCTCTAGCAGTAACTGCATAGTTGTATCATGTCCTTTTGAAGACGCAGCTTAGAGAGCATCCCCAAAGAATCCACCTTGGGCGTTGACCTTGGCTCCTTTCTCTAGCAGTAACTGTATAGTCGTATCGTGTCCTCGCAGAACCGTAGCTTAGAGAGCACTCCTATAAGATCTACCTTAGGCGTTGTTCCTGGCTCCTTTCTCCAGCAGCAACTGCATAGTCGTATCATGTCCTTCCGAAGACGTAGCTTGAAGAGCATTTCTATACTCTCTACCTTGGGCGTTGATCTTGGCTCCTTTCTCTAATAGCAACTGTATAATTCTATTGTGTCCTTTATAAGACGTAGATTGTAGAGCGTTTCCATATGTTCCACCTTGGGCGTTTACCTTGGCTCCTTTCTCTAGTAGTAACTACACGATCTTATCGTGTCCCTTAATAGATGCAGCGTAGAGAGTATTCCTAAAGAATCTACCTTGGGCGTTGATTTTGGCTCCTTTCTCTAATAGCAGCTACATAATCCTATTATGTCCTTCCGAAGATGCAGCTTGAAGAGCGTTTCTATAATTTCCACCCTGGGCGTTGACCTCAGCTCCTTTCTCTAGCAGCAACTCCACGATCCGATCGTGTCCTTCTAAAGACGTAGCATAGAGAGCATTCCTAAAGTCTCTACCTTGGGCGTTGACCTTGGCTCCTTTCTCTAATAATAGCTACACGATCCTAACATATCCTTTGGAAGACGTAGCTTAAAGAGCGTTTCTATACTCTCTACCCTGGGCGTTTACCTTGGCTCCTTTCTCTAGTAGTAACTATACGATCTTATCGTGTCCTTCTGAAGATGTAGCTTGAAGAGCGTTTCTAAATTTTCTACCTTGGGCGTTGACCTTGGCTCCTTTCTCTAATAACAGCTACACGATCCTATTATATCCTTCTAAAGACGCAGCTTAGAGAGCATCCCTAAAGAATCCACCTTAGGCGTTGACCTCGGCTCCTTTCTCTAGCAGTAACTACACAGTCGTATCGTGTCCTCGTAGAACCGTAGCTTGGAGAGCACTCCTATAAGATCTACCTTAGGCGTTGTTCCCGGCTCCTTTCTCCAGCAGCAACTATATAGTTGTATTATGTCCTTCCGAAGACGTAGCTTAAAGAGCAATTTCATAATCTTTATCTTAGGCGTTGATCTCGGCTCCTTTCTCTAATAGTAACTATATAATTCTATTATGTCCTTTATAAGACGTAGATTATAGAGCGTTTCCATATATTCTACCTTGGGCGTTTACCTTGGCTCCTTTCTCTAGTAGTAATTACATAGTTATATCCTGTCCTCGAGAAACCACGACTTAAAGAGCAGTTCTATAGAATCTACCCTAGGTGTTAACTTCGGCTCCTTTCTCTAGTAGCAACTCCACGATCCTATTGTGTCCTTCCGAAGACGTAGTATAGAGAGCATTCCCAAAGTCTCTACCTTAGGCGTTAACCTCGGCTCCTTTCTCTAATAACAGCTATATAATCCTATTATGTCCTTTAGAAGACGTAGCTTAGAGAGCATTTCCATATTCTCTACCTTAGGCGTTGATCTTGGCTCCTTTCTCTAATAGTAGTCGTATTACCTTCCCATAACTATTTAATGAGGCCTAAATGATAGGGTAGGTTCTGGTGCTATCTGTCGAATTAACATATTTTCCACTAAGAGAGAGTAGAAACTCAACCTCTCGCTTATGTCTATTAAATAATGCTAGATATAAAGCAGTTATTGACGGTGGATCTTCGTGAGATTTAATAGCCTTCTAAAAGATAGAGAACCATAATAAAAAGGCTTTTCTACTTATATCGTACATTTGCCGAACTTGACTAGTGGCTTCTTGGTCTTTGGCCAAGCTTATCTTTCGTTTATGGTCTGGCTAATATAATGCTGAATAATCTAGAAAGCTTCGAATATTTAAGCATGGATGTTCGTTATCTTATTCGAGATCTTCTATCAATAGGTATCGTAGATAGATAATAGCCATTTGATCTTTGGTGTTAGTCAAAGTCTATGAGTATAAGAAGTTGATACTATTGGAACTACTCTTCTTGACAAGAAATTCTCTGGCTATCTAATAAATCAAGTAGATCTTAGAGCTGTTGATGAAAACAAAAAGTCCGTATAATCGACGCAGCTTTTTCTCGATTTAGAACGGCTTAATTCTAGCATTTGCCGCAGTTTAGGCTTATAGGGAGGTGGTAATCCCGAGCGCTATAGCCATTTCCACCGTTATTAAAGGGCGCCGTGCTATAAGAATGATTTGTAGAATCTTCTTTATAATGTCTACTTAGCGGGAGGGCACTCGATTAAGGATCTTCTCGTATACCTTATCTACTGATTTAGGTATTAACTCGATTTTCGCCTTAGTCGGGCGAAGGCTGTTCTCGAATATAGATCGAATATCGTTAATGGCTAAATATAACCAGAGATACGTATGGTGCTCTATTTATAGAAGCTGCTGCTCGAGTCGCTATTCTATGTCCCGTGATAATGCCGCTCTGTCGGCTAGCTCCTTTACTCGAATCTTTACCATAAGGTCAATTTCTTGATGGATCTGATCATTCTCTTTCTCCCCTTCTAGATAAAGATATGGGAAAGAGTCCGTGATCGCTCGAAAGCTATTCTGGATATCGTCGTAAGGTCGACTAGTGACTAGGAATTTTAACCAGGTATCCTGTCCCCGCGGAAGTGATAGGTGGTGAAATGAGTGGAGCTTCTTAATAAGTCGATTTTGATCAATCTCACGGCATTCATTAAGCGCATTAAATATGTAAATGGTTTTGCATAGATCATCAGATAATACGGCGGTTATAAGCATCCTCTATAATTCATTAACCTCTTGTTGGAGCTTCTCTCTATTCTTTTCCTAAGATGGTATAGCATAACGCAGGAGCCGAGGCCGCTGGCTGAAAATTTAATGGAGTACTGAGTAAAGTGCTAAATCAAGATGATTCTGTTCATCGTTGTCTTTGAAGAAGAAGTAATAAATTGTCACTTTAGGATAAGAGTTTTCTAAGCAATCTTCGACTATCGATTGGGAAAGTACAGACTTGCCATAGCCTGGGTCGGCCGATACCTAGAGAAGATCGCTATAGCTGCTCTCTGACTAACGGATATATTCGGTGCTCTGTAGAGCCCATAGGCAGGTTCCCGCCACTTTTCTAGGATTGATGTTCCTTTGCTCCTCATAAGTAGATACCTTAAATGTTTAGAGACAACGGTTCTGCTGATTGGTCAAAGCAAACGCAACCTTCTCACGATGATGCTGTTCTTGCTGCCTAGATGCTTAGTCTAGGCGTTGATTTATGCCTTTAATTTTAGCCTTTAATCCGTCTACGTAGAGCTTTGTAAGTAAGCATCCTTAATTTAGGACTAGCTAAGCCCGTATTAATTTCACTTACTATATATATCTACTACCAAGCTCTCCTATAAAATATGGCCAACAGGGACATAGCCTAGTAGTTCTTTTATATATGCTGCGGCTGCTAGGGTAGCATATCCCTACTAATCCTTATTCTTATGTGAGTTGGCATAATCATAAATACCGCGGATGACAACGTAGGGAAAGTCCAACATTAGACTAGCTGCCTCTATTTCGAAGCATAATACCCCAGTCTCCAAACGAAGATCGTCCCTTATCCGCCTGTGCTTGATGACCTTATTACTAGAAGTAATGATACTATAATAGGGCTATGGGTCATTATCCTCGCGTTCACCTCTGGTCTGTTCCTACTCCGCTAGATATCTATCGTAGTTGCTCGCACTATTAGGATGATCATGGTTCGCCTGAAACAGTCTATCAGACTATGCACTAGGCCGGCTAAAATTTTTCTGAGTTCGAGCGCTTCTTCCGATTGCGTTTTAGATGTATTCTAGGTAGCGGGGTTCGTCCCGCAGCGCGGTAGCTCTTATCGTGCTAACTGCCGTCAATAATGCCCTCGGCGGACTATTTAAGGAGCCGGTTCGTTCGAATTCGCCATCTATAATAACCTTGCCCATGTCATATTGAATCACCCCACCACAAGTGCCTTCGGGGTAGCTAATCACAATATCGCCTAGCTGGATATCATAAGCAGCTAAGGGGATTCCACCCCTAATACCGACCATTAGTCCAATTCGAAGTGACTTAGAGAAGGTGCGAAGCATATTATTTGCGACCGTCGTAGTAGAGGTCGTCCCGTACTAGCCTCCAGGGAGGTAGGCGATCATGACGTAATATTTACCGATTTGGCCTAATGTGTAGGTATTCAAGTCTACTATATCTTGCTCCTCGAGAATCCTAAAGTACTTATTAAGCATTTCCGCAGCTACTGCAGCCTCGATTGGAAGAGCATAGATCTAGCCAATTTAGAAGGCATCTCGCGGAGGGTAAGTTATATAGAAGGTATGGCGTGATTTCGCAAAAAGAACGGTTTGTTGATGAGAATCTTAGAAGTTGTATATTAACTAATGTTAACAAGTCGTCTACTTGAACATCAGGAGAAAAGAGCCCTATTACGTGGTAGACAGCAGGAACCCCGCCCCTAGTAGTAGAGGCTTAACCCGGGCTAAGGGCGTAGTATAGCGCGGCAATTAAGCGAATACTATTAGAGAAAGCGGCCCGCCTATAGCTCAGGTGCATCGCACGTGGTAACACGTGACAATATAGTTTGTGACCGACTAACGTGGCTCGATAGACAGAACCCTATTAGTAGTGGTGGCTAGAGCAGCGCTAGATAGATATAGCGCTAATACTTAAAACATAGCGACTCGAACTTATTCGTGATATAATATAAGACTCTATATCGTATACTAACGCAGAAATTACCAAGGCTACCTATTATACTCCACGATTAATCAGCACTACCCGCTCGAACCTACGATGCTTTAGAAGTGTCAGAGCCCCTCCTAATAGTATTAGACGACGACGGATGATTACCCTACTAATGCTTAAAGCTCTCTATAAGCGCCTCCTCGAAAAGCCGGATTTATACCAGGATAAGATAGTGGTCTTCTTATGGGATGAGTTTCGCGTCCTTATGATAATATATAGCATTGGTAGGGCGCTCGCATCGGTCGGATAGTCTAAGAAAGCTATAAGATGGATAGCGCGGGGGTAGAATATTGAACTTCGGGACTTCTATCTTTATACCATCTTATCTTTCCGATCTTACCACCTAGTGTACGTGGATGAATCGGGCTATGATAAATGGGCGGGTTTTAGACGGACTGGGTGGTCTCCACTAGGAGTGACGCCTATCCAGATTTCTTAATTCCACCGCGGATAGCGTTATTAGATACTTCCCGTATATGCCTAGGATAGCATCGTTCTTACACGAGTCTTCTAGGGATCGACTAACGCTGTTGTGTTTAAGGATTTTATATGGTAACTTCTATATTACTGTGGGAAGTGGCTAGAGCCAAAATCCGTTCTTATTATAGATAATGCCTCTTTCTATTGTATAGAGAGTCTTTGGTAGATTTATTCTGCGGCTGGTGTTAAATTGGTGTACTTACCACCCTACTCCCTAGATCTAAACCCGATTGAGGAGTTCTTCGCTGAGCTTAAGGCGTTTATTAAACGACATTAGCTAACGTATAAAGAGAACCCGAGCTAGGGCTTTAATACTTACCTCGAATAGTGTGTTAATAAAGTCGGGGTAAGAGAGAAAAGCGCGAAAGGTCATTTCCGATATTTAGGCTAGAGTATTAAAGAACCGTGATAATCTAATATATGTTTTCTATTTTATAGTCTATCCTCTATGTTGCACTTATAATGCTTGACCCAATACTTGATGTCTTTAATAAAACGACGAGCAATACCTCTTTTGATGCCATTCTTAATAAAAAACCCTAGATCCTAATCCTTGTGGATCTGCACTAGATCTAGTCCATCTTTAAGGGTAGTATCGCGAGCTTTCCGAAACTCTTCCTTTAGTTTCTCATCATTTACTTAGGATTACTGCTAGTCACTATATTTAGCAACAGCAAGGTCCCGTAGACTAGGGATCTCGAGGAAATCTGGAGGCGCTTTTCCTGGACTTGTAGTCGGCATCGGAGTCGATGTATTTAGCATAGAAAGAGGAGAAGCCTGCGTAGGAAGGACGTTAGTGATGTTTATAGGGGGATAACTATTAGGGGACTAAGTGTCTCCCTTTTGCCTCTCAAGTCGCTGCTGCTCTTGTATATATAGTTTTTCACGGATTGATTCAGGAACGTCATCGTGGGTTTTTAACACACTATCTTCCTCCGCGTAGCTTATAAGGGCCCTCAGATTCTATATAGTTAGCTTAATATGCTTCTTGCCTATAGGGTCGCGCTAGTAATATGGGCCCAGCTTATATGCTCCACTAGAGTACTATATTAGACTGTAAACATAGTCCTAAGTAGGAGGTTGCCTAGTAGCCTATTCTTCTATATTGATATTTGCTTACCGCTTAAGCAATATTAGCTAGGTAGTAGATAAGGCCCCTCTTTTATCTATCCCTCTTAGACTCGGCCTTAGGATGTGACTGCCCTCGGTATAGTTAAATAATATATTTAGTGTTAGTTTCTTCCTAGCACGGAAAAGATCACCCCACACGAAAAGCTATTTCTCTATAGCGGACCAATCTATTTCTATTTTTTCATAGGAGAGAGTGAGGTCTAGCTGATTATGGTGATTTACCGATACGACGATAGTTGTATTATCTAATTTAACACTTTTCTATGCAAATTTCTTACCTATAACCTCCTTTAACTTAGGCCCTAGAAAAAGACGCTAGTGGAACCGTGGAGCTAATACTAGGTCTTGCTCTATGCTTTTCTAGATAGATTTGTTGTTATTAAGAGTCATCTTCCACATAATCGAATAGTGTATATAGGTGGGTGGAAGCTTATTATACAATTTTCCTTCTTCCCACTTAGTTAACTAAAGTAATTGAATCTGGTTTATTTAAGGCGACCGGCGCTACGGGGAAAAGGCGTTATCTAGGCGGTCTTCTGGGCTAATCGAACTAATCACTAAGGGTGTCTAATAGATGCCATATCCGGGGGTTAGGGCATATTCTGGGGTCGGGGCAAAGAGCGATGATTGGCCGGGATAGTCATACAAATCAAATAATAGTGGGTCATTATTAGCGTCGAATGGGCTACGCATATTAATGCAGCTATTTAACTAATAATTAAGATCATCGTGCATTAAGAGGCTTTCGTGGAGGAGGGGGATCTTTCACTTTGGTTGATACTCGTTGATTCTTACCTAGAAAAAGTAGCCGCTAAAAAGAGAGCATAGGCAAACAAAAAACTCTGTGGAATAAGCAGCATCTAGTGACAGCGTTGATAGGCTATATAACCGTTCTCTTCGGTCTAATCGGTTGCAATAGAGCCCTACGAGGGGCGATGAGGTTGGGACGCCTAGAACGCAGATAGCGCATAGTGTTTGCCTTATTTGCACGTAGATCTTCCAGGTTCTAGGGTAGTCCATAAGATAATCGACCACTAATCCCGATTAAGATAGGATATAAGCAGCTAATATTAGAGGCCCTCACAATCCTATATAGAATATTATGATTAAATATTAACTTACTAATGATTGTGTTAATGCTAATTATAAGTGAATAATATATAGATGTGTCTCTTAATAGTCCCGCAGTAAGTTGAGGGTCGCGCGATGGGTCTTTATAAGCTAATTGATATGTTATAAGCTAATTATTCTATGATATGAATTGTCAAGTGACATATACGATCCCAAACGATATACGAATCAAACACTATAAATCTGACAAGATAGTGTATTGCGTATGTAGATGCGCCAGGCTTAGTCCTCGAGTAATTTAATGTCGTAAATTTAGTATTTAATACGTCATAATACCAAAGGCTGTCATTCTAGTACTAGTTCGCGCGTAATAGAGTTTCACGCTAGTCCCTTAGCAATAGGGCCCGAGAGAAGAAAAGCAGCCACTAGGGTAGAAGCCGTTTTCGCTATCGACTATAAATATAAAGTCCGTGTAGAGAATGTGCTCTAACCCCTGATCTAATAAAGCGGAACATACTATGGGTACGTTTTTTGATAGCAAAATTATAGGTTTAGGAGATATGTACTTCTAGTTAATCTTAATAAGTGGTAGACGAGATATTAAGAAAGCCATAACGAAATGTTTCCGACGTAGACCCGAAGACCTATAAACCTATTTATATAAGTTTATAGAGGTATTAGGCATCACGGCCGCTTTAGTAAAGTGGTAGACCTTTGATGGGTCCACTTAAATAATATCCAAAAAAACAAGCTAGGCAAGGACATACCTAGTAGGACTGAATATGCCATAAAACCTCTACATTCTCGTTGTAATTTGTTCCTGCAGTACTAATAGATAACTCTAACTATGAATTCCCTAATAGCTAGGTTAAGAAATATCAACGGTAGCTATATTACCATAGTGTTATACCCTATGCGCATTTCTATATCCCCGAAGTGGAAGCGAAGCATAAGTAACGCTATGCAGGACATTGTTATAGTTAATATAGCACTTCCAAAAAGTCCTTTTAGAATATGCGAAGAGTTAAGCGCATCCACCTATAGCTGGTTAAGTATTAATATTCCGATAGAGAAGGCGGTAATAGAAGATAAAAAGTAAATTGATTTTTTGGTAAGGCTATTTAGCCTCTCTAAAGCGGCGTGCATCTTGTGGTATAGTAATTGATATTAGTAGTGAGGAGGATGGTTTTCGTTGGTGGCTTTATTAAGAATGATTTGAGGGATTTATATAACTGTAAGTAAAGTTTTAGTGGTAAATATTTCCTATCACCGTCTTTCTACGAT